TGCAAAGGATAGTGTGAAAGACAGGGCTGTTATTAAGTTTTGAGGCTCCTGATCCCTTGATCTTCACACCTGTAACAAACTTGCTGATTTGTGAGTGAATTATCAGCAGCCAAGTTCATCTGTAAGATGTAGGGCTCATCAGGCTTACTTGCATGCCCCAGGGGGAGGGGGTACTCCCTTTTATGGACTGTATACATGTAAGTATGTGCGTCCCCAGAGGGTATGGTTTTTCAGCCGTTTTGGTCCTAAATATGGTATGGTTTTGTACTCTACACAGTCTTGATATGGGTATGTTTTTAAAAAGAAGCTAATTTTTTATCATTATCGATATGAATATCAACAAAAGCCCTTCAGAAATTATGTTTATGGTAATTTGACATTGGTTTGAACTAGGGAACTAATTACAAGGCAGTTCTGAAACAGGTATTGCTTTAAGGGTCAGGTCATAAATAGGGTGTCAAATTTTTGGTCAGGTCTTGAGTAGGGAAGGGAATATCACAGATTTTGGTCATAAATAGGAGAAGGGTTTTGGGAAGCGCGCACCCCCACTTAATTTTTCTCAGAGTACCCCCTCCCCCCACCCTGGGCTCACATGTAATTGTTATTGGTTACAGTCCATAATGAGAGCCCTACAAGAAATTTTAAACATGCCTACGTAATAACGAGGCCATACGGAAAGTTTGTCCTTGCTGGGAATACGTATAATAGTTTTGCTCAGGGGCGTTAGAGAGAGTTACTTGACTCAAAAGCCTCTGGGTCTAAATTTCCTGAAAATAATATCCCTAGCATCCCAAACCACAATAATTGTGATAGAATCTAGCATCTCATTAAAGCTTTGATAACACTTTATTAGGAATCAGAGGCTTTGGAGCTATACAACAAAGGTCTGGCTTTGCAGCAGAAAGGAGATTATGTAGCATCAGAGGAAGCTTATAACCAGTTGTTAAATTCTGCTTTGGTTAAAGAGGTAAGCACTTTAATTTTTAAAATGGTGTTTTAATTCACATTTGTCCCTACAAACATAAGACTGCATGTAATTAGTAACTAAGGTAAAATAATAAAGAGGAGTTGAAGGTAATGGCTAAAACTGTAAGAAAATCTAAAGTAGGCAATTTTCATATTAACTAGTTTGTGTATCAGTGCTGATACCCATACTATGGGTATCACATGATCTTTCAAAGGATGCATGTAGAAAGTGCAACAGGGAACTTGTTCATGTTTGTACTGTAATAAACTATGGAAAGGAGGTTTACCTTAAATCGGTGGGCTTCTGTTATCTTTACTATAAGTGGAGGTTTTTCCTTTACATTTAGTTATTATTTCCCAAGTGAAATGCTTACCAAGAACACAAAAGGCATGCAACATGAATGGATGTTTCTTTTAAATAGGCTCCCACACCAGAGGAAGATGCAGGCTTGGTTGAACCTGGTCATGTGCTGAAATATTCAGCATACAAAAATCTGGCTTCACTGGCAGAGAAGAGAGAACAATGGGAGAAGTCAATAGATGCATATCTTCAGGTGAGGGGCCTTGCTTCCTCTTGCTCTTGCCAGCATTCGAATCACTTATGTCCTAGCACCAAGAGTGAACTACTATTAAAATAGCTTTAAAGCGTATCTTGATTAATTGGATGAATCTTTGCATTTTAACCTTCAATGCTCCTCATAAATCCTTAGGACATTAAACAGTGATGAAGACCTGGTACAGATGAAGCATGTTGTACAGGCCTTCTCTCAACCACTTTGTAGCCTTAAAATCTTTCATTTATGGTATTTTCTTCATCTTTGACTGCCTGATCCTGTTCCTATGCAGGCTGTTGCCCTAGATGACTCTGATGTGACTGTCTGGTATCATCTTGGAGTAGTGGCTCTGAAGACTTTTGATCTTTGCCTGGCTCGACGCTCGTTTGAAGAGGTTTGTAGTGTCTGTACTAGAAAACTTCGAAAATGATTTTCAAATACTGTATCAGAAATTTATAGATGTTATTAAATAAATAAAACACTTTAATAGCTGACACAATTGTTTAACTAGCCACAAGGGTGTACATATACCTCCTAGGTTAAATCAATTACCTTCAAGGCGAAAGCTTCTGGGCTGCCTTTCTCCACCAAACAATGTTAACAGTAAATGTTAACAGCTGTAGAGACAACCAGCCCATTAGCCCAACTTAGTTCATTAAGTTGACTTAAATTGTTTTTAATCAATTTGCCATCATGTTTTCCACCCCTGTGTAGGGTTTGAAGTGTAATCCAAAGCACTGGCCTTGTTTAGACTTGCTGTGTACTGTGTTGTATGCTGTTGGAGATTATTACAGTAAGTATGTTGAACAGTATTTGGAAGATTTGCTTCATCACATTACCGTACCCAAATTCGCAATTAGCTAGTCAGAAGCTCTGTCTATTGTCCTGATATCCTGTGATACCAAGTCACTGACCTGACATGACTATGATACCATGGTCACTAGGCTGAATTGGCTCATTTGGTCTTGCCATGGGTATTTTGGCTCGACTTTATCTTGCCAAAATAGGAACCATGGCTCATCAACCAAACTCGCCTGATGTGCCAACGAAGCATACCAGTAAGGTCTGCTCTTTCTCTGTGGATAATCAGTTACTGCTTTTTTCCACAGTTTTGAAACTTGAAATTTAGTTTTTTGACAGTTGCTCCAACAATCAGGCAGGGCTTGAAAAATGTGCTGTCTGGTTGTCCAGGACAAGCAGATTTTCCTGCCATGCAAGTAACTTTCATTCACACTTGCCTGATGGACAAAGGCCCAGACAAGTCGTCTGCCAACTAAAAATAAATATAAACTAAATCTTGGCCAGGGTGAGCAAAATTTAAGAACTGCTTGTCTGAATGAGTGGATGAATGAAAGACTTTATTAAAGCGTCAATAGTATTATTTTAGCTTAAAAAAATTAATTGGGGACACTATTTACACAATAAAATATACCTTAGCTAAAGTTAAAACTATTTACAATTTAATGAATAATGTATAAAATAAATTAATAAATAAGTAAATGAAATATATGAACTTAGTCTGAAGGGCAAACTGGAATTCTAATTCTTTTCGGAGCCCTTTAAGGTGTTGCCTATTTATTCAGAGATTAACTTCAAGAGTAAAGAATCTTACCTAAGAATACAACATAAGGGCAACGGCTGATTCAATAAAAATTAGTATTATTGATATAATTATAAATTAATAGTTATTATGAACAATATGGTTTTCTTTAATTACAGCCTGCCTTGTTATGATTTCTAAGGCCTTGGAGAGGGATGAGGAATATTCTAAAGGTACAAAAAATTTTAACATTAATTACTGCACAATATACCTTATGCATAAGTTAAACAATAATTGCAAGTCACCTGGTGTGAATGAATGTTTGGAGGTAAATTTGTAACTCCCTCTTGCCAGGCATAGCTTTGAAGAACCAGATCTTTTCTGAAGAGCCTATGCTCAAGAGAGATTCTCAACACCTAAGGTAAGTGATCCATCCACTCCTTGTATAGTTGTAACGTTTCAATACAAGACATCAAGGTGCACACTTGGACTTTTCTGTCATAAAATACACGCAGATCTGTCAGTTTGAAAACCAGATCAACATGTTAGATGGAAATGAAACCAATAATATTTGTATCAAAATCCTTCATCATCAAATTTTCTTGAAAGATGGATGGCTGAATTACTGTGTGGTTTCAGAAAATATCCATACCAATCCAACAGAAGGTCATAAGAAATTTTGAGGTGTGGGGGTTTTGAGGGCCAGGGGGGTCCTCCAAAAAATTTTCCATGGCATCGAAGA